ATATATACTATATATTATGTATATCTATTTATCTATCCAAGACTACTACACATAAAGAAACACAATATATACTATATATTATGTATATCTATTTATCTATCCAAGACTACTACACATAAAGAAACACAAACGGCTTTGGCAATCAGTGCGCGCACTGATGGTCGCTGGTGGAGATGGAAGAGCCCTTGTAATTGTAGCATTGCCTTGCACGGATTGAGGTTCAACACCAGTCTGGGAAGAAGTGACGAAGAAGCTCAACAACTCCGCATAGATGCCCAGGCACCCGCAACCAGCCCATATCCCTGTACCATTTCACTGTCTCCCGCATCAGTGACTTCCGCTGGCGTTGGTTCGCCTCCTGAGAAAGTGGCACAAATGGATTGCATCTCTGCTTCTGTGTGACAACACGGGTGGATGTGGATTGGCTCTACTGCAAACAGTGCCGCCACTGGCGCCTTCCCACCCACTGGCGCCCCCAAGAAGCAGTGAACATGATTCTGCTGGGCGTCCACTTCTAGTTGCTTGAGCCACGGGGCATTTACACTTGAAGTATTCTTCCTGCCCTTCTCGTGCGTCAAGAAGTCCCAGGAGGAGAAAAACACCTCAGTCAGTGCATGCACGCCCTAGGTTGGCCTGCTGTGGACAAGAAAAAATGCAGGTTTGTCCTGCAGCTCTTCCATCTCAGTCAAGCCACATGAGGAAAATCTGCGCAGAAATTGTAGTCAATCCTTAAAGTCATGAGCAATCTTGAGTTCTCAAATCATCCGCATCCCAAATCTGCAGTGCCGTGGCCCAGTGAGAGCGACAAACATAATGTTTGGTGTGGCTGAGGGTCATCAGGAGTTGGTGAGTGAATACTTGGTTTCCATGTCCATCATGCGATTGTTTGGTCAGTTGAGTTCTTGGTACACCCCACCCCAAAACAAGAAAACACGTATGTTGAGATCCCACCTAACCTAACTGAGTACTTCTCACGTCCCTTGCTCAATTAGGCCATACTTGGAGGTGAGTGATAGATGTGTTTTTGAATGAGAGTATGGAGTATGCAGAGGCCAAACCGTGCCAAACTAGCTCAGATTGGACGAGGCGAGGTCTAATAAGGAGATTAGATATGATAGATATTGTGTGGGTGAGCATTGAGATTGGCAGGTGAGAATGAAATGACATCAATTAAATCAAACAAAATGAGGGAAGCTGGGCTGAGTTGCATAGAGAGGGGAAGACACAGATGTGCATCGCAAATAGCAAGCAGCCCCCCCCTTGCCGTTCTACACGCAGTATAGTGATTCCAGCTGTACTATATGTATCTATATGTGTGGCTTTCGTGATGACAGTGCTTGACGTGGCACCAAAGTCGTTGGCACCGAGGCTCGGCAGCAAACAATGAATCTTGCCAGTGGCCTTCCAAGCTGTGATGATATTTCGGGCACTCCGGACAGAGGTACCTGGGCGTTCGCTCCGGAACTGAAGCGAACAAAATATCGGTGAGATGGCTCATGAAGTCCTTGAGACATGTGTTGCATCATCGGTCTGATGGCTTTCCGCCTGCTTTGCTGATGGCTCACGATTTGACAATATGTCGTCCCAGGCGCCTCGTATTAAACAGCCTTCAAAGCGCCCCTGGTCATCCCATAGGACAGAACCAACACGCCAGAAATTTTCAGCGGCCAAGTACGTGTCGGTCAAGGACTGAAAGTTTGCCTGCGCTGCTGCAGCTTCATGCTTGGATTGATGAAACCCGCGACCAACAATGTCTATCAAGTTCAACGAGTACTAAACCCTGGAACTAACATGAAATAACATGACATGACAAGACCTATCATATAATTTCACAATATCATATACTGCTTCATGTTTATGACATGACATCTTTATGTATATACATATAACGACTGTGTGAGTCTCTCTCTCTCTCTCTCTCTGTGATTTCTTGATCAACTCATCTCTGTCTTCTTCCCTCACGACCATCAGTCTGATGTCCCCAACCACCCTCACAATGGTCCCGAATATTCCCGAATGGCGTGCCCAAGAGTTTTCTGGGCCTCGCCCATGACCCCGATCTTCTCCGCGAGATAGCGGAAGTGTTCTGTGGCAACCATGGCCTTTGTGCGCATGAAGGTGAAAAGATTGGGCCTGGCAAACTCGCAGCGTGGGGTCCCCAGTGCACAGAAAGCTGAGAGAAACCAACATCTAGGATGTACTGAGCTATTGGACTAGCTATTGGATCTCAGAGCATCTCCCTGCAAGAACAGTTGAATCATGTTGAACAATGTTGAACATTGGTCTGCCATGTCTGTGCAATCCAGAATCAAGCCTTGACTAGATTCTAGATGGGGTTGCTCACATATTATGAAGCCATATGAAGCCTGCTTCTAAGAAGTCCCCCTCCCTTGCACCCGCCTCAGAAACATCACCTCAGATTGTGCCCACAAATGCCGCACTAGCAAGTGGGTGCTTCTCTCCTAAACAACATCTCAACACATCTCTAACTGCACACGAGGCACTCCAGCATTCAGCAAGTAGGTGCGCCCTTCCCTGTCCAAGTTGCCTATGTCTTCCTGATCGCCTCAAAACACGTCGCATGACATCCGACGCCAACTTCACGGCTTGGTGAAGCCAACATCCCATGCACTGCGGCCGACGGCACGGTGCATTTCCGGGGCGGCCGCCAGCAGCGTCGGCAGGCGGAAGAGCTCGTCGCAGCTGCGGAGCATCAAAGTGTCGCCGTCCAGGATCACCACGCGCTCGAACTCCTTGGCCCCGGATGGGATGCCTTCGGGATCTGGAAGATTTGGTGATTCTAAGATTCTAAACCATACGTCTTTGCCATGGTAACGACGCCAATTGTGATCCACATGTTACCCTATAGGCTTCAGACTCAACTCCCTGGAAGTCCTTTCAGGCTCCCTCGATATGTCACCAACAGGTCAACAAGTGAATGGGCCCGGCATGGGTGAGCCGTCACAAAATAGTCGCAACCTTGGTTCGATGTTGATGTTCTTGCATCATAGTCATCATAGTTAATAGATGTTAAGATTAATAGATGTTATATAATAGATCAATAGGGCCTTGCGAGGGTACCTATGGCTATGGCATGCTATGGCATAGATGATGGATCACTTTGGTTTACCTCCAAGGGGATGTCCTTGACGTCCTTCCTTTCCTCCCTCCACCACCCACTGCATGGACGAAGCACCGTGAGTGTCCAGGCGGCTAGCTGTGCAAAGCTGCGCTTCAAGCCACGATCCGAGAACCAGTCGCCCACGTGCTTTGGCTTTCTGATGTAAGTCGACTGCCACATCTAGGTCTGTCAAAGCATGACAAAAGTATACAAAGATATGCAAAAGTTGCCTTTTCAGCATCTCAGACGCTAGCTATATAATCTACCGTTACATTCATTTATACAAACGTAACATTGAAAAAAAAAGCTTCGTTCCCCATTGATGCAGAACTGCTGTTCTACATCTGCCAATATTAAGACTTGTACACCCACGAACCAGACTCATTGTGGAGCACAACGTTTGGTTCAAGCAGCACAACAGCGCATGAAAGCGACAGGTGGTTTCCGTGCCAAGTGGCCGGAAGGGTTTCGTTGTTACCTCCGTGCTAGCGGCGAGTCGAGGTCCATGGTTACCTAGACTTACGATAACCTTCCAGGGACATTCCACAAAAGGAGAATAGGTACCGGCTCGGAGAAAAATCGAAATTGAAGAATTGACAAGGTGAGAGGCCCGGGAGGCAGTGTTGAACATGCTGTACTGAATGAAACGTACTGTTCCACAGGCTCAGTCAGGGCGCCAGGTCGTATCCCTGTGGAACCATGACGTGAAAGTGAAGACCCCTGCAAAAATTGTACATTATGTTGAACACAGGGGCTAGCTGAGTGCGCATGCACAGCGCATTTCATGGTAATCGTGGGTCGAAAACCCGCTGTATAACACCCAAGAGCGTGCCTGCTTTCTTCTCAAAAGCTTTTGTTGAAACCGGCATCACCCGGGACCCCTATTGATCCTATTTTCAATGGTCGGCCAAAAGAGGACCCACTTCTTGGAACAACGGTGAGTTCATTGATGAAGCAACATCAACTTGGTAGATGCAAATGTCCATACTCCATACTCCCACCCTACCTACACCAACAATAAACCTTCTTGCTCTAGCGAACTGATATGAACCGATCGTAGAATTGCAGCGCCCATGACAAATACAGGATGCAACGGAGCAACATTGGGATCATTGGGTCAGCGTTAAGATCAATAGATAAAAAATGTGGAAACCAAAAAGTTGGCTTCGGAAACTGAAACTGAACGTCACATGAATGTCTGGTCAATAGCTCCCCCACCCACCCCACCATCCCCCCACACACCAAACTCCGTTCACTTCTGTTGCTGGGGAAACTACCGTCATTTCTGAACCCGAGAAATAGTGTCCGAACTGGACCAGACTAGTTTCTGAACCCTAGACCCTCGCCAGAAAAAGCAGGAACTCTGAGACTTGTGGCCCTGGTTTCTGAACCCATGGCTTTAGTTTCTGAACCCGGGCCATTCTTAGCTTTACTTTGTTCGGAACATTTGGAAATTGGCGGGCCATCAAGTGGTCCAAAGCACTCCACGTGCGGCACATCGATGACGGTCCGTCAAATCGAGCCTTGAAAAGCCCAAAACAAGCCCCCCTCACCACGCTAAAGCCGATCAAGCACCCATCTTCATGGTCACCAGGGTCATCCGAGATCCCTTGACAAACCCTTGAGGAGAAGCCTTTGGGGGTATGGACAAATAGTGCTGGTATGGGTAGGAGCTAAAACAGTTGGAGGGGCACAACCAGCACAACACATCGTCAACCTAAAGTCGCGTCCATCATTGTTGCTTTCATAGGCCCTTTGGGGAGGATCCCTCCCTTACTTCAATCACAAAAAGTGCATGTTAGCCAAAGGTGGTGTGATGTCATGGTTCGATGGAGGTCCTTCCAAGGTGCGAACGCTTCGCACTTCTAGTCCTTCAGCTTGGAGCTCTGCAATGAGCACCTCCGGCACTTGCCCAACGGTGAGTACCAGGAAAGTTCGCCGAGCAGCCTCCAAGGGCGAAAGACATCTTGGAGCTCTGGGTTGAAACACGTTGAAATCGAGGGAAGGACGGAAATCCATCAAAAAGCCCACCCGTGCCGAGCTCGGCCTCCCACTTTCGCACAGAGTAGGCCATGGTTCGGATGACCTGACGAGGACCCCCACTTGCCGAGGTCGGAGACGGTCAATTCTTGCCGACCCGAAACAGCGAGGAGGGTGACATTGCCTGCCTCTGAGTTCAGCGCCGCTGCCTTCACGGCACTTGCAGAGGTGCCACCCCAGAGGAAAGCCACCCAAGCCTGCCACGGCTGAAATCTGGAACCTGGGATCCCAACGATGTTGCTCACCCCTCAACGCTATGAGGGGTTCGCCAACTGTTGAATCAGAGACTATACCCTCCAAGGCTCAGCAAGCCTCTTTGGAGGTCTCATTGGCCTTTGGCTGGAACTTCATTGCACCTCAAACTCACCAACTTCAATCATGTCACATACCCAGGACCCAATCCAACCTACAAGAACACAAAATGAGCCCAGGGTCGCGGATAAACTAGAAACCGTTCATACCGTGTCCACCCTCTTCCATGCTCAACCTGGGGGTCCCAAACGCTCTCAGGAACCTTCCCCTTTGCAAAGCAAAGATCTCTGGCCAAAGCTGTCCATCTCATGCAGCACATCGTGAAAATCTTTGATGTAGGCAGCTTCTGAGGACAGGATGCCCTGGCAAAAATAGTCGGTGTCTTCACCCTGTCCCATGCATTACACCACTTTCAGATATCATTCCTAGGCCGTAAGCCCTGCCAATTGGTTTGTAGGTCTCCATCAGGCAAGGACACGTGTCCGCACAAATGGTGCATCTTTTGTTCGGCACCTTTCCAGCAACTCTTGAGACTCCCTAGTAGCGTCCTTGCTCCTAGTAGCGATGCCAGGAGCCCTACTGTAGTAGCTTATTGTTCCTATAGTTGGATATAGTTGGCGGTTTCAAAAAGAACGATTTGCCTAGCTAACTCCGATGCTTCAAACCTACCTTCTTCCTTCGTTCTCCGTGTCTGGCAGACCGTCCACCTGCACGTCGCTGCATGCCCTCAGTACAACGAAGCCCGATCTCTGCCCCGCCTGCTCTGGATGCGCGGGGCAAATGCTGACAGGTACACCAGCTGCACCCGTATCCTGGATGCAGGCATGGCACAGGAATGAGTTATATAAAAAGGGCTCCACCAACACAAGGATCATTCAGGAAGTCATCTCTGGACCTCTTATTCCACAAGTCGGCCCAAAACGTGAATCCATCCAATCTGGACCAGTTCCACCACAAGTGCCCAAAACGGGTTATGACAGTTTCGATCTCAACCACTCCTGGGGAGGCTGCATCACCGCGCGGATCTGCAGTCGTCGGTTGATATGCTTCTGCAGTCGCGACAGGATTGGGAGCAAGCAGTCAGAGGCCACCAACCTTGTCAGCAGGCAGCGCGCAAACGCAAGCAGTCAAGGGCGGTTGTCCACAACGGCGTGTTTTGGGACCTTGTTGTTTGCCTACGTCCCTGGTGACTCTGTATATAAGTCTGTAGCCTTTTGTTTGGTACTTGTTAGTGGTTGTTGATGACAACCCTCCACACTGCGGGAGAAAAAGCCGCAGAATGGTCTTGCAGCTGCGCATGTTTTCCACTTGTTGCATGGGCTTGGCCGAGCAATTTGATGTTCTTCAACATCGCTGTTGCGATATTGGTAGGATATGGTAGGTTATAGTTACAGTAGTATACAGTAGTCATAGTCTGTCATAGTTGTAACCCTCCATTGACTCCCTCTACACATAATGGCCACAATGAACCATTGCCATAGAAAATCCATGAAAATCCTTTGTCATTCCGCGCCATGAAACGCAATGAGGCCGATGACTACATGGCCACATTGTCAGAGATCATTCATTGAGTCATGGTTCCTATTATATGGCAGTCCTATGTTGCCAATATGTTGCAGTCATGTTCCTTTTCACACTGGCTTCCCCCGTTTCATGTGTGGTTCGACCATGGGCTGTTGGCCTGCCCTCCTCAGCTCGTGGGGGTCAACTCACCCTATCGTGCCCAGCCACATGAGCGTAGAAATGCGCGCGGCTGGGGCTTTCCAGCCCTCGTTTGGCGGCTGAAACCACCACAGGAACTCCTTGAGGTGCTGATGGGCTGTCCTAGCTCGATGAGTCCCGAGCAAAATGTCACCATCTCGAACAAAACATATTATCAACAAAATGTCGCTACAGTCTTGTCTTCTGACTGCTTTTTCCAAACATAGCTGCTGCGCTGGACGTGCATCGGAAAGGGGAGCAGGGGAACCAAGTCAACCAATTTCTCACCTTTGGCCCATGCAGCGTGTTTCATGCAGCGTGTTTCGTTGCCATGACACTCCACGCAGCGTTCCATCTCTTCAAGGTCCGCCTGTTTCACTGCGACCTCTGCCGCCTCCAGGGCCTCAACGGCGTCACGGAAGCTTCTGGCGAGGCGGCTTCGAGCACAGGCTTGAAACGGTTTCCTTCACGGTTTCCTTTGTAAATCTGTTTGACATCTCTTAGCCAATGCAGTGCTACTTTATAAGCCAAAACTGTCGCCTTTCTATCTTGCCCCGCTCAGTTCCGAAGTGCCTGATGAGCCTGCGCGAGAGGGCAGCTGCCGGTCCAGTTCTCCATTCCATGCGAAGGCACGATTTTACACAGGGAGATCGCTGAAAGATAATCCACATCCAACCTGCGACATGTGTCTGCTTCAGGTCTCAGAGCTCAACGACAAGCCTGTCACAACACACCTATGCCTTCGATTGGCTCGATTGGTCTAGTCACTAGGAACTCGCACAGGTTCGCCCGCCGAGTTCATCGCAGCTCACATCACCAGGCCTGTTCAGAGAACCCGTTCGGTCTGCGGCGTCACGTGTGTTCTGGCGGAGGAATGGGAGCACAGACTTCAAACTTGCCGCGTCGGGAGATTTACAATGACTGTATACAGTCCAAGCGAGTTCATGTCTGATGGGAGGCACTTGGGATTTGTGTCCGCAGGACTCGCAAGTTCCATGCATGGTGACTCGGCTGATGGGCGTCCCATCGAACATCACTCTGAACATCACGACATGGCCGCTCCTTCGCAGCATGAAGCTGCTTGGCGAACTCCAGAGCTGCCAATGTGCCTTGACCCTTGAATCGCCAAAAATGGGAACGCAAAGCTCTCAAAAGCTTGAAGACCGGCCAGCCACTATACCTAGGCGACCCTCCCCAGCAGATCCAACATGCTTCTCTTGAGACTCGTGTTTTGCTTGGAGAGTTGGACTGCTGCGGAAAAAATGCACAAAGCATCATAGTGCCCATTCAAACCAACCTTTCCAAGTGGCAACACGTCCAAAAGCCGAACGCCGGGCCTGGGCTAGCTTGTGGAGCTGGTCAGGTCTGAGGATGGCTAACGGTTGCACTAAGCTAGTTTCCAGGGCACAAATTCCAAATGAAGTAGCCCAAGGATGCGCCCAAAATCTCCCATCTGTGCACCTGACGTGACGCTGGATCTTCCAATCATGTGCACAGTGTAGTTCAAGGGTCCAGGAGAAACAAAAAAAAAAAGCTTGAACACAGAAGACTGATTTATGGATGGGCATCGGCATGCAAGCAAACCCATAAACCACGTTGAGCCCCCTCGCCTGACCCTCAAAGGTGTGGTGTGGTGTTGCAAATGTCAGCCGGCCCATCTTGTTGTGGGGCACAGTGCACGCTAGGGGCAAACTGCATGCGCTTGTTATTTTTATTTGTTTCTCTCCATCTATGCTGGCTATATTGCATGCCAGGTAAGCTTGGGCAAAGCCAGTTGGCAAAAGTGTCAAAACAGGCACGCACATATAAGTATGTGTATATATATATAATTACCATAAATCATAGGAATGTGGCTTTGTTGATTAAGAAGATGTGATGAGTGACTTGTTAGGTGATGAAGGAGCTCATAATCATGTCTGATGCGGAAGGAAAGTGTTGCTTTGTGGTTTCTGTTGATGTTGCGCGTTGTGACCGTGACACGTGATCGCGTGAGCACCAAACCCAAAGGACAAAGGGTTGTAATGTGGTGAGTTGTGAGTTGTGATGTGGCGAAGTACATCCGCCAACAATCCGCGGCCACTCTCGAGCGCACTTTGTTTACATGATGTGTTCCTTCCCAAAAGCTCGGAACTTGATCATCAAATCAAATACCATTATCAAAATCTCAAAGAAGTTACCAAAAACAAATCCTGAAGTGTGAAATCTGGAGTTCATCTCAGGACTCCGGCCTGTTCGTGCGAGTCAAGAAGACGTAGGTCAAAGGCATAACTCTCGGGATGGCTGAGAAGCATCAGCACATGCCCCACCATTGCACCTAGGATCTTGCAACGATGCGCGTTACCTGGTCAAACACCTGAGGCATAACTTTTAGCAGTTGTATCTAATGAGTCTTTTTCCTCCTGCGGAAGATTGGGAGGGAATGCATAAATATATATATCCATACCATATCCGTTTGTTGTGGTGGATCTGTTCGCAGTTTCTAGCACTTCAGAGTGATCTTCCATTTGCCTTACCTTCCGCTTCGCTCACAAAAGTGACAAAGCTCGAAAGCACATGAAAGCCGCCTAGTGGGCAAACCTCAGAGTTGGCGATACAATCGTCCAAATTGGTACTTCTCCTTGGCTTGGCGGCTTGGCTAACTGCGCATGGCTTGGAGCAAGAGATGCTATGGTTGCAACCATGGTTGTACGTGAAAAACACGTTTTCTTGAGCCCATCCGCAAGGTGAAACTTGTTGGTTTATGCGGTGCGAAAACTGCCCCTCTACTACAGCACTCCACAAGAGCACCAGCGGACAAATCAAGACCCTGTCAACCTATCCAGTGCTGCCAGAAAGGCACTTCCTTCCATGAGACACTTGGAGCTTCGATCCATGTCTCAGGTACCGTGCCCTCGGGCAAGTTGCAGTCTGTGGCAACCCAGGTCCAAAAGTTCTTGCCATAGGGAATGTTATCATGGCACTGATGCATGGAGACCACCGGCAGGCCATATGTTTCCGGTGGCACTGTGAGAGCACATCGGTGATTACGCATCGGGATCAAAGGGTAGGTTTTGGTGGCGCACTTTATGGCATATTCCAGGCTCTTTTCTGCTTCAGGAGCCCAATCACGCTCGTAGTAATCCTCCACATCCTCCACACTTTCTGGAGTGCAGTTCCATTCGATTTGCTTGGCTACAGTGTCCTGTTCCAAGCCAAAGGGGATAGATCCAGACGCCAAAGTGTGCCAATCATGCCAACCCCCCACCCACCAGGACACCTGCCTGCAAAAACTCGGCAAATTCAGGAGGGAAGCGAAAGCCATATCTCTCCTCAAGAGCCTCAAACTCATCTTGAGACAAGCCCGCTGTTAGGGTCACCCCCGCATTGTTGCCGGCAATGGCTTCCTGAATCTTCTGAATCTCCTGGGAGTTGTCCTGCAAGACCATCTGAATCTGAGGCCTTCCCTCAGTTCCTTCTTTTAATCGCTTCTTCACCGGATCCTCTCCTTCCAAGGGCTGATCTCCGTAGGCTAGGTGGAGCAGCCCGAAACAGCGGATCCTCAAGTCCTTGGCGACCAACCTTCGGAGCTCACTGCAGGTGATCTCGGATGCGACACGTTCGGGACCCCAGGCGATTTCACCGCCCAGCTTCACGACCTCCAGCGTCAAACGCGCACCTTCAGCCTCGGCGCTGGCTTCCATGCGTGTGCTTTCAGGCGTGCAGCACAACGCACCCATTACTATCAGCTCGAGCCGAGAGCACAAGACTGACATCCAAAAAAAACCGCGCAAGTGTGCCAACAAGTTGGAGCCAGGCAAGAATGCGAACCTGTCGGTGAATCTCTCGACGAGCGTCCTCTGACACATGTGATGCTCCAATGCGAGACCACCAAAGCGGCGCCATCCGTAACGGTAGCCAACGCCTGCACGGACAACTTCTGGGATAACACAACGTGTTTGAATGTGTGACGGTGGCATGCACTGCTGAGCCTTACCGGCCCCCACTACAGGGGCAAGCTATGTCCCCAATCTATGGCCCAGTTTCCTCTTATATAACGAAAGGAGGCTGGAGTGCAAATGAAACATATCCTATCTGTATATCAGCATATGCTTGCATAATTTTACGCGCACGCGCACACATAATAGACATAAACATACACTAAACTATAAACAGAATTGCATACAGCAGTGCCATACACACTATAGAATACTCTGTATATGTCAGCTTCCCATGGCAAATGCCTGGCCTATCCATTGTCGCCTCTCGAAGCCGGTCCCGCCTCTAAGCTTGGACTCCACAGTGTTGGCCAAAGTGCGCCAGTGCACTGGGGATCCAATCCTGTGCCCACTGGGTCTTGGCCAAACATGGGTGGAAAAGCAAATCAAACCCGTTGCAATAGCACAGGAGCTGGGCTTGGCGGCAGAGATCAACTCCAACCAAGCTTTCAACTCAGCCGAGCATCCCTGAATGCTTAGTCACACCGTGAAAGCGCACGGCACGAAGACATTGAGACCTGACGCTGCCGGTGTGAGCTTGATAGTGAGGGTGTGGGGCTTCCATGCTTTGATTTCATGACCAATTAGATAAGCATGCCGACACTGGCTGCAACAGAGACACACATGGTTGGTTTCCAAACGTTTTTTTCCCAAACTGGTGCACTCGTCGCAATTCCATGGGGGCCCGCTTCTAAATCTCCTTTAAACTTCAACCACACTCAAACCACAGGGATGTTAAACATGAAGGCGTGTGAACTGCAAAAACTGTGAGAGGTGTCTAGCGCGGACTGCTGAGATGCTGGAGCAGTTGCTGCTGCTGCTGGTTGTTTCCACTTTTTGGTCTCAAAAATCTTCAGAACGGCATAATTAGGAAGGACGTAAGAGCTGACTCAAAAGATTTGGATGTTGGATGGGCAAATGGTCAAGAAATGGACCGTCGTCTAGCGCGGTGCTAGCGCGGATCTAGCCCCGGCCTAGCGCAAAAATCTCCGTCGATTTCTTTATCCTGTCAGATTCTTATTTTTCCTGCTTGCATGTCTTCTTCTTGTTGTGCATTCTTCTTCTTCTTCTTCTTCTTCTTGGCTTTTTTTCTTGTCTTGCTTCTTCTGTTTCCTGCTCTCTGCTTGTTTCTTCTTTTTCCTGCTTGCTATCCTGTTATGAAGAAACCTAGCGCCAACCTAGCGCCAATCTAGCGCTGCCTTGCTGTATCACCATATTCTGCTGGGGGCCCGCTTCCAAACAAAAACTTAAAAACACATCTACAGCCTTAAAAGTTTACGTTTATCTATATTTTTTGAGTAGGGCTTTTTGAGCGCAGTCCACATGCAAACACCATCCGCTCCCTCACCAGGTTGCCCAACGTCCGGGCGAACGGCGAACCTTGCCACCGTCTTCAAGTGCCACAACCGGCTATCGGCACCAAACTCCTATGACAGCAATGGCGCATGGGGCGGAAGTTCGGAGAGGCAAAAAGAAAACATGAAGATGAATGAAGAATCAAACCACATGGCCCAGCATCCCGACTTCTCTCCTCGACACTGAAGGCGTCTGCGCCCAGTGCCAAGCAGCTTGCGAGGCATGCCACGGTACACGCGAGTATGCCGCCCAGCCCCGACGACGGCGCCATGGGCCGTGATGCGAGTCGCGGACTTCATCGATGCAAGTCGCAGCGTGACCAGCGATGCACCCGACGTTCGGTTCGTGCGGTGTCGGTTGTGTTTCGAGGCCTTGCGCTTCGGTTTATGACTCACATGTTACGTGCATGATTTGTTGGCATAGTGCCCTTGCAAGAAAACATTGCTTCTCCTCGGGTACTAGTAGTAGGGAATACTGTATGGTTGCAGTATGTTGAAGTCTTGCTAGTAAAGAACATGGAGGTTCGCTCTTTCATGCGCTCGTGTAGCGGGCTAGGGCAATCAGGCTCTGATGCGGGCCAAGCTTATTGACCAAAGGGCAAGCTTCAGAGAACATGTTTCAGTTATGCTGCTTTGAGCTCTCAAGGTATCCTCAAGTTTACCTTCCACCCCACTCCACCATATGGCGGAACCACACGCATCCTGAATCCAATGGTGCACCAAGCTGCAGGTACATTGTGGTGAAGCTTTGAGCTGCAGAGGGGATCGTGCCAAAGACGCCCTGAGCGATAATCACCTCAGTGCGATTAGATGTTGAAACAGCTTTCAGAGTCTAGGATTAAGATGGACCACCCACCCACATGAGGCCTGTTTGGGGCACTGCGTGCATTCAAAAAATTGAGCATTGAAGGAACACCTGCGCAAAACCGCACTGTCCAGGACTCCTATTTTGCTGCGCGATTCTCCGCATCCATCCACGTGACACAGTAAAATGACCTGCCTTCAGTGGAGCACCGAACTCCTTGAACGCTTGCGCGCAAGCGCATTAAACGTCTGCAACAAAGTTTTCTAGGTCTTCGGCACACCGCAAGGTGTTAAGGCAATTTCTACGAACAATGGGAGGCATTGGAAACCAACAGCATGGCTTGGCTTTGCAGGTTATTGCCCGTGCCGGCATTCGGCTGGCGCTCCAAGTCCTTTCTACACACCGAATCAATGAATGCATTCACCGACAGCCTGCTGCTTCCATATCTATCATGTAGGCGGCTTCCAGCCTCCGCTTCGACCTGGCCTTGTGCCAGTCTATTTGCGCTATTGGTATGTCTGTGTAGACATACCCTTCGGGCCCTTCGAGTCTCGGAGCTACCGCAGGTTTTGGCCGGGCTGCCAATCGCCTTTCACACATGACGTAAACAGTGAACAGAACATCTCTTGAAAGAAGCGCTCTGTAAAATCAAATGGCGGTCTTGCATCGTTTAGTTGAAAGCGTCCTCAAAATGCCTGTTTGAGGTGAAAATTGCAATCGGCCTGTCCACATTTTAGGCATGCGCACAAGGATAGACTTGCCACCATTTGTGGTTTCGAAATGGCGCACAAAGCGCTCCTGGACCTCAGCCATGCCACGACTATCAGACGCATCTCTAACAGTGAAGTGTCTAGGTGTCTAGCTCTCTCTCTGACACTTTACTGCATCTCCTTTTCTGCGATTATGCGGTTTTGTCATGCTGTGACTATGCTAAATTCATTGGTCACGAAGCCGCACAAACTTGCTTGTAGTCACGCGTTCCTGTTTCACTCCTGACCTATCTCACGACTAGAGACCATGCTGTGCGGATGTTCTCTGATCTTGATCCAAACCTCAGATGTTCCTATCGGAGGAAACCAAAAAAAGGTAGAAAGGCACCGAGCTGAGTGAATATGAGGAGTGCCTCTTTCGGCAGAAGGTCTACATCTGATCCACTTTGTTCTGGCACAGAGCCGGCTGAAGCATATTAAAACTCAAGATCAACCAAGCCATAATATGCGTTCTGTCGAGCGGCAGTTGTATTCCGCAGCTGGCGTTGAGCTTGATGAAAGCAGTACAGCCGGCGATTGTCCACGCTCAAGAGGGCTGAGCCTGGCTACGTATGCAAACACCCCAAGTCGCTCTCTTAATAAGCCTGTATATAATATAGAGAGAGAGACTAGAAAAAGATCCTCGCCTTTCTTCACCACATCAATGATCAAGCGGTCATCCTTCAAGGGGTATTCTGGATCTTTCATGATAGCCTGAAAGTGGCGGGTGGGCATCCACAGCTCGATTCCAACATGCTGAGGAATAGCCCGGAAAACAAACGGACCCACACCATAAACAGCAACAAACCCTGAAACAGGAACGCAAGTCAAAGTAATGATGATAGAAAAAGCATGGCACCGGCGCATCAGGATGGTGCAGTTCCCAGCCCCAAACGGATGGATCCAGTCCCTCCATCCGGGAGACATCGATGAGCTGTTGCAGCGATCTCTTGTCCTTGAAGTGCGGGCTGCACTCAGCCTGTAAGCACTGGGGTAGCTGTGGACCGGAGAATCCAAAAGCAAAGGTTGTCACATTGGGCAGTACCCGTGCCCAGTGACCGGTGTTTCTTCCCTTTGGCAGAGAAGACCCCGAAGTTGGGCACCCAAGCTTGGCCATGGGGATCCGAGAAGCAAAGTAAGGCAGTCCAGGTTTGGGGCAATTAAGGTCCATAAGCCTTTGGTACAAGCAACTCGTATCCGACCCTGTTTTTTCCCTTTGACAAAGTAAGCGCCCGTCCTGTTTTAGTGATTCTGGCCAAAAGAAACAATTCTGCATGAAGTGTTTTGCTCGACTAGATTCGTGCTTGAAAGCTGTACTCATTTGGCTGGTATTGGCTGGTCTTGTTTAAGCACTTCTTATCTGCTGTCTTGAAATGGCTGGCCGCCTGGCCTGCGTGTACAGGACTTCGTCGGCCCTTACAATGTGCTCATAGCCATCAGAGGTGCAGCTAAGCATTTCCTGCCACCAAGCCTTCACGGCAATGATATTCAGTTTGCATTTAGGTTTGCCAAACATTCGTGATGCAATACCAGATCTTACTTTTTCCACGGAACAAGCCTGTTCACGAGAAAACGCTTTCACCATGGTACATAACTCTTCCCTTTGCCAAGAGTCTTGGGCCGCGTCTTTTGCTGCGATGCGCTCCATGGGATTTTGGCAAACCATCTTGCTGACCTGGGCCACGCGGGGACACAAGCTCGTTCCCAACACTCCTTGCATTCAACTGCTATCCCATCTTGACCAACATGAGACATGAGGAACTTTTATTGAAATGTTGTGGTCTCTTTAAGACTAATTGTCAATTTTATAGTCATCTTGGTGTGTTCTGTGTCCTGAACTTGTAACGACATCTCCATGTTGGGCCGTCAGTCTATTTGCAAAATCACGGCGCACGCGTCATCCCACTCACTTCCCATAAGCATAAAATACAAAAACCATAAACACGTTCACATCAATGCCTTCTTGAAGGACTGCCAGTCTGAGTCTACAGTCCAAAACTATCGATTTGAAATTCAACCCGAGACCTTCAGCACAGGAGACAAGCGCCTCACATGTGTCTTTTTTTCAGAATTCCGAGAATCTCAATAAACACACAACACTTTAAACCCAAAAGCCCTGCACGGCTGTACAGAACAAGGTCTCAAACCTACCTGCTTATGGTTGCTTCATCCAGTTCCCTTTGGTCTCTGGGGATCTTTGCCTCTGTTGGCCCTCAGCTCAAATCAAGCGTTGTGAAACTGGTGAACCAAATTTGAACCAAATGATGCCAATTGCAGAATGCCGGGGTGGTATACCACTATATTACATAAATTTCATCCAAACAAGAACCATCAAGAACCCCTTTGCGCCTTCATCGCTGAGTGCATCAGCTCAGGACCACCTGGGTCTGAGTCTCCCCGCGAAGCTGTGCAGCTCGCTCTTCTCCGAAGGCCTGGACTCGGGCACGCAGCTGAGGACGTTCTGGATGCTGCGTCCCAACCTGGCAGAAATGGCGCTGGAGTGAGCGTGGGGGAGTGAGCAAGGATCAATCAAGAAATCTGAGGTAATGGTGCTGAAGCAAGCACCAATCTCCGATGCATTCAATTTGGCCCCTGCACTAATCATGGGTGAAGAATCGGAGACCATGGCTTGCCTGATATGCATGACTGGGTAGTTCATATGCGAAGAGGTGGCTTCTTCAATCAACCGTGTCTAATCAGTCTGGTGAGTTGGCCGAGGGAGTGGCGAAACAGTGTCGGCGGAGCATCGTTTTGTAATGTAAAGGTATGACCAGTGTTGGCTGGGCAAAGGAATTGCCAGGCCGCTGACCTCCCCCCAACCGACCTCTTGCAGCTCCAAGTGGCGCGAACACATCAGATTCTAGGGTCGGTCGAGCCGAGGGGTCCTGTCGCCAGCCGTTCGCGCACGCTGAACGCTTTGGTGGGAGCAATCCTATAATCCGCAGGAGCTTTCGACTACCGAGTACGTGGGCAGGGCATTCCTGCTTTTACAAAAGTTGGTTCTGAGATGTTCTGAGTAAAACTTTCCCCCCCCGCTTTGAAATGTGTCACCCGCGTCGCATTGCGTCGCCATGTCCTGAAGCTCTGGCGCTTGAAAGCCCTGGCTTTGGATCTTCGAGGTCACCGTGACACCCACGTCATGGTCCCTGGCAGTCTCCTTGGAGCAGTTTTTGGTCCAAAACCAGCTCAATTGGGCTTTGTGGAAGCTGCTTCGGCATCTCCAGCGACATCCAGTGACCCCGGACGTGATCGTGCCCACCGGCCATCGATGCCAAGAAGCGAAATCGCACAGGATCGGGACTTTGTTCTTTCCATCGTACAGCCAGTTGCTGGGCTTCAAATCTCCATGCACGATGCCATGCGAGTGGACCTTGACACTGAGAATCTGAAATTTGATAGAATTTGTATGAATTTGTGGAGTTCGTCGAGCTTGTCAAGTAAGTAAGTTGTTTAACTTGCCCACACCACGCCATAGATTCCATGAATTCATGATTTCGTGGAATCTCACGTTCCACAAACGAAGCATGCAATTTGATCCCTACGGATCACAGACTTGGATCGACAGATCGTGGAAACGAAGAAGTCCTACGCCCACGCTGCAATCCTCACGATTTTGCTCATCTTGCGGCCCTTCCACATCGCCCTGCCCTCTCCATCCCTCTCCATCAACGCACCCCGCGCATGGCCCAAGAAAATCCGAGAAACATGCGCAATGGATTGGATCATGAGGTGTGCAATGCGCCGCGGCATTTGGTCCACCACCCCCACCGTCGCCGGCTCACCAAAACGGTGCGGCACGCGCTGGGGGGCGGCTGATCCTGAGCAATGGCAGCCCTGTGGACGGGGAGAAAGAGCAAACCGGCACACACGTTGTTGTCTGAGTAGCCTTGACAAGTGTTCTCCGAGATTGCAGTCGTAGCGATCAAATTGTAGGAAGCCACGATGCTCCTGTTGAGGATAGTGTCTCAAAACTCAAAACCTTCTGCATTTGATGGATTTAGTTAGGCGAGGATTCCCACTGCAGGTAAAACCTCACACAGGGACACAGGGCTCCCTATTCAACCATCCAGCCTCTTCAGAACCCTCTTGGTGTTCCATGGCCTGCCCGTCCTTGTGGTCAATGAAGGCTCTGCGCAGTGGAACAACCAAGGGATGTCGGAGCCTACGGTTTGGTGGCCACTTCTGATGTCTGAAGGGCTGAGTCCCAACAAAAGCTGGCCTGCCTTTACTTTGAGATATGTGATGTTTGCGCTGACTACAGGTTCTTAGCCCAAATCTCCATCAGTACCTTCCCGAGTTACCTGCTGCCTCAGGAAGACCGAATTTGAATCTGCTGTAAGTCTAAATCCACATATATATACAGTATATACATGGTACCCCAAAAAAACTACATGTTTGTAAAATGAAGATTCATAAAATATATGATTAAACATGTTTACTCTATATGTCAGAAGTATGTAAAGAAATAGCGGGGATAAATTCTAGGTAGTGGATACTACTAAACAGTATTTGCAAAGGATATTAGTAGCAGTATGTGATACATGTTTAAAAGTCAGGAGGTCAATGGTTTGATTAAAGATTATGTAAGGAATAAATCATATTTGCTTCGTGCTTTACTTGTCATTCTGCCCCAGGTATCCTTGATTGCAACCACTTTGTGATATGAAATTATGGGAAGTGGCGGTGGACGGCAATCACACGAGCTCGGGTTTTAAGTAGAGTTGAGTTTTTAAACTACAATGATGATACTGAGGATGAATTTAATAAACAATGTATCACAAGCTATGTTGAAAGGAAGGTTGAACAATATAAATTACATGATAAAAAGGGCACAAGGGAAATAGTTCAGGAAGGTTGTATTAATGCCCAATGGTTTATGGAAAATATAACCAATGAATATCACTACTGTGGATGTGGATTTTAGATTAGATATTAAAAAGGGGCAGTATATCAACTGCATTGCTTACTGTCATAGATGTAATAGTCGTCGCGAATGAATATTTAACACATATGTGTGTTTATTGTATAACACCATATAAAACCCAAAATAAAGAAATAGTGGGTATATATATATGATATATGATATATGTATAATTACCTAGTAATGGATACGTTGGCAGTATTGCAAAGGATGTCAGAATAACAGCACATTGGATAGATTTACTGAAGGGCTTAAGACCTGCGACAGTTGTAGAGCCAAACAATCAAGAAGATATTACAATAATAGAGAAGACTACCAACAAAAACGGGAAGCATGCAAGGAAAACAACCCTGATCTTGCTGATCTTTGTGTCTTGTACTGACCTTACACATCTGGCATCACCCACACATCTGACAAGCAACCCTTCACCTCAAGGGCCTGGTCAAAGTATAGGTTTGGGGGGGCGGCTCGCATATGTGAATGATAGAAATAGAAAATTTTTCTATGTGTATAAGTGTATATGGTTTGAGCCCCTGCCTCACATGGAGCATCACTTCCTGGATGAAACCAGGTAATCCTCTGTGAGTGTGCAGATCGAAAACCTTCACCACGCATGGGCTGCCCTCATACCTGAAACTCACCGTTGCTTGCTCTCAGCATGCATGACGCATGGCCAAACGCTTTGTCCATTTAGGATATTTTAGGATTGACACTTGTTGAAGAGGGGAAGAGGCAGCTCATAGCCAAGATCTGCCATGATCTGCTAAACTCTGCCACTAAAGAGCCAAGCTGTTCAGGGTGCTGAGGAACTAAATGGTCTGCAGACCGGATTGAAACGCACTGTCCGGTCGGCTGGACGCCACCGAACCAAGCTGCCTCATCTCATAGACGGCATGCCGCGCTCCCGAACCGGAAAGAGGCGTTGCTTGAGAAAGCTGCTCTGGATCCTCAAAGCACTGTCCAGTTCACAAGATATAACCCTCGCCCCCTTTCTCCCTAAGATTCTTTCGTTGGGGCAGGGAACCCGCGTTTCTGGAACTTGGAACTGGCTTTGAGCGATCAATCTTCAAAAACAGTCCAAGGCGCATAATGAGAAATGCTGATGTTGTGGTCCAAGACTTTGAGAACTTCAATCTGATCTTGTGGCTTCCTGACAAACACACAAGGTCACATGCGCAGAGCGCAGAAATGAATCCTGTATTATACAATTACATGTTGACAACCATTGTCTACAACCTCTAACATGGTGGGCCAGCACAATACAAGGCACGCCCTTTGGCAAATCTAGCAATTCCAATCGACCAAGGATCAGCTTTCTCAAGCTAGTCTCCAGCGACTTGTCCTCAGCAGAAGAATGTGCCCTGCCAAAATCAAAGGTTGGTGCAGAAGCGCTTGGATAATTTCACAATATCAAATTGTCACTGGTCTTGTCTTGTTGGGTAAGGATTTTCTGCAGGTTGTAGGCTTCAAACAATCTCCAGGAATCGTGGCCACCAAGTTCAGTGCCCACACAACCAACCACATGGCCAACCCATTGACTTGTATAGACTGTATAGACAATGATATTCGGAATTTCTATGGCTGCATCTCAGGATGGAACCACCAGGTCCGGAAGTTCAATGAAATCCACTTGTTTCTCCCTCTCCTTCTATCTTTCATGAATTCGTGGAATACAATTGGATACACCAGGGAACGGTATGTTTCCGCAGCTCGGGCAGCATCTCCGGCGCCAACTGGTGAGCAAGAGCGCAAAGCCGTGCCATCTTCTCGAAATAAATTCGGGTCCTTGGGTGAAGCACCACAAATGACATTGGAAACAACCAGGAAAGCAGCAGGCAGCAGCAACACATATTACATCATTATGCACGCCCTAATTCAATGGCCCAAAAACTAATGGACAGCAAACAATGCAGGATTGACGTGGCATTGAGGGAATTTGGCTTATATATGTTCTATAGTAATTATATATATATATATAACTTATCAATATTTATGTATATACGCCGTGTATGGGATGCACAAATGGATTGCTGGAAAATTGTTTGACAAAACATGAATGGAAAGCAATGAAGCGACTACTTTGACTCTGTCAAGGCTGGAACCCATAATTGGCCTCCGTAAACCTAATTAGATACTTTTCATCTCTTTGCTCTGCATTGCCCTTTCACAATTGGAGATGATTCAAAAGGCCCTTGTCCCTTGTAGAGACAACCTCCCCTATAATCGTCTTAATTTCAGTTGCAAAGTTGTAAGACCGAGCTGCTCGGCTTTTTCTTGTGCTCGATGGCGATCTCGAGTGCGGCGGAGGTCCTCTTCTGCTTCTCCGGGCGCTTGCCCAAGATCCCGCTGATTCAGCCACTCCTGAGGCCAAGACGCAAGCGTCCTCCCCAAAGAATGCGAGACGCGTTGCAAAGCCTAGGTCACTGACCGTATCAGCGGATCGCATCTTGTTCCTGTACACAACCACCTGCGCACAGTTTCGCACGAATTCACGCACACAGCGAAACGAGAGAGAAAAGGAGTCGAGATCAAAGGCCAAAGTTGAGAAGCCTTGATCTTATTGTCCTTGCTCATCTTCTTCGGTCGTTCTGAGTGAACCACCTCGTGTCTCAAAGGACAGGTCGCTTGCTGCCTATCTACCAATCCACGAAAGTTCAGCTGTATAGTATTCTCTGGCGCACCCAGAAAGTCCATACTTCGATCAAAAAAAAACAGATGAACAATCCTCTCTGTCTCAATCCCTGTGTGAAACGGCTCAGGGTTCAAGGCCCACCTTGAAATGTTGTTCCGCCAAAACTTTCATTTCAAGGTCCATGTTCAGCTTGTTACCCTCTTCTAGTTGCTCCATGCGCTGTCGCGCCAATTGCACCGCATCGATCCGCCGACGACCTGGCAGTGGAGAGAGGTAACAATAAAGTGAGATGTCAATTTCCAGAATTGTGGTACAGATACCGGCTGCAGCCCAAGCGCCACCATGCCAGTTGTAAGTGTTGCGTCTGGCAGTGGCAGCGTGCTCTTCGAAGGCCTGCAGCCGGTCTAGGGGGGTTGGATGTAACTTGAAGAGTTCATCAAAGTATCAGTGATCATAATGTCATACTCTTCCATGGCTGAGTGCGATGGGTGCATGCAGAAAGCCAAGGATCGCGATAAGCAATCATGGCGTCATATCGGCATTCATCTCCTCAGGACATGCATCATACGAACATCCCTGGATACACACAAACACGCACTGGCCCAGGCACGGTGGGCGACTGCGGCATCCAAATCCTCCTTCTTGGTTTCATAGACTCCATCATGTAGGGCATCACGCAGGTGAGTTTGGATCTCAGAAGGACATGATCAAAGACTCAAAGAGCCAAGCAGTCCAATCGCTGACACCAAGTCCAGCTGAGCTCTGCACTTCCTCGAACACTGCATATTTCTTGTCGGCACGTACCCTCAGAAGTCTATTGGCAACTTGAGCGAAATCTCCCAAGCAATCACATGCAATATTTATATTATTGAAGCAAATTGAAACCAGTTGCAACTGGTCATCCGCATGCCGCCAGTCCTGCTGCAACCCAAAGCCGGGCGAATGCGCGGGTAGTGGTATGTCCAACTAAAAGAAACCAAACACCTGCTGCCACCTGTCTAGCAAACCTGCCGTCTTTGACTCGGCCTCTTCGAGAATTTTGGCCGACGCGAAGGTCGCACCCCACTCGTTTCGGGGAGCGTGAAAGGGACTCGTCACCTCCGTCTCCCACCTGCGAGAGCAAATCAAACATTCTTCAAATGAGTGGACTGAATCTATGTCTATAGCACTTGCCTTTATAACTATAGGACCTCCATTGGGCATTGTCATGGGAGAAAGCCCGGCTGAAGACACCGGGGGGGCGGACCCACACCATAGATGTTCTCCTATCATATATGTATATAAATGTATATAAATATATGTCTTGCCCTTCCGCCTGCAGCTGACGTGCCATATATATGTTCTCCAATCATCTCCAATCCCCAAAATTGAATTCTGAGACCCGACAGTGCGGGCCTAGCATTCCGCTCCGCAATAGTGATCCAAAGGTTCTGCTCCTCTTGCACTTGCATGCGGAGAGCCTCGAAACGAGGAATTTGGGGACATGTGCGAGCAACGATTGGCTTCAGGTCCATCTCATGACTGTGTGCAGCATCCCGCACCTCTCCATTGTTGCTAGGTACTATCACCAGGTTGTCTCCGTGAATCTTACCTGGCCACAGATTGCAGCGAAACTGAGCTCCAGTTGCACCCATCAGAACCATGCGGCAACTCAACTAAAATCAGCGCAATCCCAAAGGAGGCGGAGTGGAAAGGCAGTGCCCCACGCCTGGCTTTTGCACATGAACTTGGCGTGCTGACGCATCCACTCCCTCAGTGACCTCAGTGAGTCTCGCTCGCCCGGCACAGGTGCAACCATGTGCAACCCAGCAGTGCCCAGCAGCCGAGATTTCCCAAATGTGGAACTGGGTCTCGAAGGCTAGTCGACCAACCTCAGAAACATCAAGAGCATCCTTTAGAATGTCACACACACAAAAGAATACCACCACTACAGTGACAATCGAATCTCTTGGCTGTAATCAGTGGCATGGAACTTGGATCCCTCAACAGTGGCTCCCATGCAACTTTGAACAAAGCTCCCTACTGCCCTTCTGGTGCTCACAAGCTCATAAAAGCACACGACAAGCTGTGGATTCCATGGATCAGAGGTAACCGTTGCAAATGTTCCTGTCCCTTACAGTAACAGTATTGGAAGATTCGTCGCTAGTTGGAAGATGGCAGTCCAGGAAAGATTTTGGCTTTCCTGGAGCCGCTTCTCCTTGTTTATGGTCGGGTCTAGAGTCTAGGGTTTATTTTCAGGGAACGTCTTCTCACCGATCCATCGAGTTTCCCTGTCCTCAAGTCCTCAAGATTCTATATGAATGACCTTCATGTGTGTTACATAATTATTGCCATTTATATACTACCACCGTTTGCCCATGTTTGCCCCCTTCCCGCCAGTTTTTGGTCCCAGCATCCGTGCTGTACGGCAGCTCCTGGTTGTCATCGGGTTCATCTTCTGGCTCAGGGTAACGCCGAGGACTCGGCTCCGGACACCTCCAGGTCTCCGGGTCTCGCTGCGTCGCGACGGGGAGTTCTCCTGAGGGGCGCAAGAGTGGCCGATCGGCTGAAGAGGCGCATGGCCAGCCTAGTAGCAAAAAGCTACTAGTAACAAGTGCATCGCTACTAGTAGCAAGAAGCTACCAGTAGCTAAGGGCACTAGTAGTAGCAAAAAGCTACTACAGCCTCTGAGAAAATCAGACTTGAAGATGCTGTGGTGACTGTGGTGTTAGGGTCAGGCGAGTTGGAGGCAAGCTGCCAGTCGGAGTTCCATTGCAAAAAGGATTATATTCTATATATATATATACTGTACATACCACCAACAAGCAAATGCTTATTAATACACATGCTTGTGCCCAGCTTGAACCACTATACTCAGTAAGGTCAAATGCTTATAAACACACATCTCTCTCTCTCTCTCTCCGTTATATGAGATCCTTGTGGCCGCAAAGCTGCTTGTGCTGCTTGTGCCCAGTTTCCACCTTCAGGTGGACCTGAAGTTTGGCGGTTGACACTCGCCCAGGACGAGCAAATTTGATCAGGTGACCGTGTGGAACGCAACGGGAAGGTAGGATGTGATCTGGAGAATGCGACGAAAGAAAGTGACACTATTGGTGGCACGAAGGACCAAAGCTTTGCCCTGAAGCCCTTTTCTTAGAGGTTGAGCATGGGAATGTTCGTCTTGCAACCGGGCTTACGGCTCCTCTCCACCTTTGTGACCTTTGTGGTTCTATTGCATGTACTGTCATGTGTTGTCCCAGGAGTGCAACATTAATCATGTTATCATATTATTCATATTCTCCAAAAGGAAAGACTGCAATCCTGCCCGCAATGTTGGCGTCAATACACTGTCAAAGGTGACGACTTCCCCACGAGATGTCCACAGCAGCCATCCCTTCAAGCCAGGATCAGGGACACCAGGGGTGCAAATATCCTGAAATATCCACGTGTGCTCATGGACGGCGCCGACCACACTGGGACCCAGTGAGGTGCCTGGTGCAGCTGGAAAGCTCTCAGGCGCTTGCTCGCGTTGGCAGCGAATGCCATGATTGGTTTTCTTCTTGTAGCCCTCCTGTAATGGCAGGAGGGCCCTTGGCCCAGAACTATTATATAAATGCTTCACTAATTAGACTAAGTTGTAAGTTGAAAAAGCTGTAGCTTTTGGCCAACTAGGAAAACTGCCCCTAAGTTCGGCCTTTACTGTATGGATCTGTATGGCACAATGATAGCTGACATGTAGCAATGTACCGACTGGCATCGCTTCCAAAACCACGAGTCCTTCTCCCACTTGTGGCATGCTTTGCAGCAGTACCCTGGCAAAGGTCAGGGGCTTTGAACGCCGTTCTAGGAAACTTGATCAATGATCCTCGCAGTGGACAATAGCAATCTTGGTGGCCACACTTGCGCATTGCGTCGACGGGATCTGTGACCAGCTGAACTGAGAACAGGCGAGCCTTCAAACTCACTGAGTTGTTGATGGGCGAGGTAGGTGCCTTAGAGAAGCGACTGTAGCGAGATAATCAGGATCGCTGAACGAATCCTTCTGGCGATGCAGTTTGATGCCCATGGGATGCAGGATCGTATAATCTTTAGTTCTGACTCTAGAAGCCGTTCCTTCCCTTTCCTTCCTTCGTGCCAAGTCGCAGTATGAATTCAAACACCTCCGCCGCCGCCAGGTGGACCGAGGAACCACACTCACCGGTGCCGGTGCGGGCACCGGCTCTGGCTCAGTGACCTCCCTCCGACCTCCCTCCGCCTCCGGGACTCTGAATATCCTCCAGGGTTGCCAAGGTGGATACAGAGTTGCTCGGAAAGGGAAGCTGGTGGACTTGGGTGGTTTTGGGCAGACAAACATGTGAGAGAGGAGAAAGGTTTTTGGAGCGTTCACATATTCATACATATTCTAACCCAGCACCCTAATTGCCCAATTATGCCGGGCATTGCCGAGCTATGCTAGCGTCCTGTCGCAAAGCCGTCTTTTTCAATTAGATCTTGAAGATGTCTGCTCCTGGGCCGCATTCTGGCATGACAAAGGGTGCCAGTCAAATGATTGGCCCTTGGCGCTTGAAAACTAAAGCCTATCTGACATATCTTCAATAGGAGGGGACGAGCACCTGGAACACAAAAGACGAGTCAGTCAAGCCAGACTTTGATAGAATTCAAGCTTCAATTAACATCAACTAACTGCTGTAGGGCCAAGGGGCCTAGCACATCTAATTACAAGTAAGTAAGGAGATGAAGAAAGAAACCTTGAACACTCCAAGGCTCAAGGAGATATTGTGGGCCTCGCGCCTTTGATGACACTTCTTGGAGTTCAAATGCTCCTCGCCCGCCCACTTGCCTTGGATGGGCGACATGGGCGACCATGCCGCTCTCTGCGCGTGATCCGATGCACATCGAGCCGCCACACAGCGAACACCAAGGATAGTGACCACTCTCGGCGGTGAAGCCCAACTGGAGCCACGGCCTGTTCTCGTCACAGGCTCTTTTCCACTCGCGCACCCATGGATCCTTCACCTACAGAGCGGCAAGCCAGCGACTTGACTCTGGAAAAGCCGACAGAGAACTGGATCACGTACACTAGTAACTGGTAGTTGATTTCTGGGTTCTGTGCTGTTCTTTGTTGGAATTTGTAACCTTATCAGGAACCCTAATCCTATCAGAATCAAGCTCACCAACCTAGGTTGGAGGCCATCGCTAGTAGGATGGAGACCATCGCTATTAGGTTGGAGGCCATTGCTACTAGGAGTCTTGACCTGCCTACTAGTACGGTCCAGTCAGCTTCGGCGTGCCTCCGGCAAATCCGGAGGCGAGGGGGGGTGGCGGCTTGAGGTACCTCGGGAGGCTGTTCCTCCGTGCCAGCCCATCCCATCAATTGCATAGTCTCCAACTCTAGGACCTAGGAACCATCCATCCCAAAAAGATTTGTTTATGCCGCTCCTACTTATATATATATATATATACAGTATATATAGTTATGTAAGGGAGTAAGCGACTAGCTACTTAATGCTACTACACATGGACGCAGGATAGCTCACGCACTAATTTCTTGGCCCTTAGGTGTTTAGGGAAACTAAACATTGGTCCATACTCGTTGTTGCATAGATTGGTAAAGGATGGTAAAGGTCTACATCAAGTCCCTCAATGCTCCTGTCATGCAAATCGAATGGCGAAACAAACGTTTGTCAAAAGGAAGCTTGAAACTGGAAAGTGTTCACATATATTCCATCTCCAAGACTCATTGATCCATCAAAAGTCCCTACATGTTTTGCCTGAACAGGCTCACCATGGCCTCCCTTGCCTTTCCAGAACATGACTTGGGAAGCTTTACAAAGCTGCGGGAGGAGTTCTTTTCCTTGCGGACATATGCGGCTGTTGTACCCGTCTGTTTCATTCAACCACAATAAATTGGGCCCAAAAAGTGTTGCGATCCATCTTCCCCACCTCACACTTCGTAGGTTCTCACCGGCCTAGCCATCCTAAATTGACACAAAGCACTCCACCGTCTGAGCCGTGCCCTAAGTGACTTCAAGCCCAGGATCTGCTCTTCATCGCCATAGCCGAAAAAGCCGCTGTCTGGCTGCATCCTGGCAAAATCAGCATGGCTCTTCAATCTTCAAGCCCACAAAAGTTTACACTGTTATTTTGTCCTTAGGTTTTTTGCCCGTGGCCTGCCCCGCTACCAATTAATTATATAATCAAGTAGGCGCCTATATAATTACTTAATTGAGGGCTAAGATAGCTCCTGGGTAGGATGCAAGATAGCTCACGCGCGAATCTTTTGTTCACGATGTGAAAAAGTCCTTCGGCTGAATAACAAATGGTAGATTGACAGACAGGTCGACCTGCCTTCGCGTTCCATTGAGGACGCAAAGGGTCGCCAGGGCTAGGCAGCTGAAACAGCTGAAGGGCACGGCGTAGTTTCTCCCGCTTGACGCTTTGCTGAGAAAAGGGGGGTGCCATCCTGTTCGTACACTCTGACTCACTAACATGGAAGTGCAAAAACGGCCGCTGTGAAGACCAGTTTCCTCTACAAAAAAGGTGGCTTTCCATTTCCATGTTTGTGAGTCAGAGTGTGCTCCTCTGCTACTTATCGGCATCAGATCAATCTCAAACATATCTTTGTTTTGTTCTACGGTTGCTACTTTAGTTGCGTGGTATCATGTGGTATCCATTGGGAGTCATCCAAAGGGGTAAATGCCAAAGGCAAGTGACGGGGCAGTAGTTCGATCCTAAACAAATATCAATGAACTCAGCTCTAGAAAATCATTGGTGGCACCAAGCATATTAAACATGGAAAGCCACATGAACTGTTACTGGGTTGGTCTTCAGAAAAAATACACCCAGCTTTTCAGGATTCACATGCTCCAATCCATCTCGCGCAAGTGTTGCATGTCAGAAGTCTTGTGGCTCAAGGATCTCAAATACAATCCGAATGCTAGGACCGCCCCAAGCCACATCCCATCCAAGGTGGGCACAGTAAAGGAGCGGATCTTGAGGAACTGCCACATGGTCCGCAGCTCCCGCATGATGCCAAATCTCCTGGACAGTCAGAATATATGGGCAGGCAGCGGGTGGTCGTTTGTCATAGTCCTTGGCCGATGTTCTTCCATGGTTTCTCCATGTTTCTCCTTCTCTTCATGTCAGAATGGGCAAGGACAAAATTATTTGCCCCATCCAACAGAAATTAAGGCTTGGGGAGCGTCATCCAAAATGGCACCCAATTATTGAGCCAGCATGTTGGAAGAATCCGCCGATCTGAGGGAAGACATCTCAACAAGGCCAAAACGTTCGTGGCTTGCTTTGGCTCTGATGTCAAACTCAAAACAAGCCGCCTTGGATTCCAGACTCGGGGCTCTTCATAGACCATGATTCGAAGAAAGGGGATCTCAGAGCGGGCACAGGCAGAAGAGAACTCTGTCTCAAATCAGAACAAATCACTAAGATTAACCAAGACATCTGGGCACAAATCGGCCCACCTGTTTGACAGAAGGCAGCTTGACCTCATGCTGACCCTAAAGAGACCCTTCCAGGGAAAGCATCTTGCTGGGGACCCGGTGGCCCTCTCGCTAAGCTGTTTTCCACTGTTTTCCCCTTCTTCTGCGATCGTGCAAGAGCTGCATGATCCACAAAGTACGAATCTACACCCTGGGCTTTCTTTACCAAAGTCTTCCAGCTTCCCGGCTGCAGGAACATCTTCCGGAGGTACACAGTTCATCACAGCTCTTGTTCCCCCAGACCCCCATGTTTTCACTATATAGTTGGCCCGTAGTGCCACCCCTTTTCACCTGTCCTTCGTATATACTACCGAGGTACTGTGAGGAGGCTGAGCAGTCCAAAGGCTCCTAAGCTCAATCTCCATCCACGCATGCCATGGAGCCACATCTCCTCGGCACACCGCTCGTCAAACCGTCCAACTCTCCTGAACCTTTCGCAAAGCAAACGAACAAATGAACTGCACAGCCGACACGTGGGATTCTCGGAGGGTCCGATGTTTCATCATTCCACTGCTAAGGTGCTGAGATCGGTGTCACCATGAGGCAGGCCATGACTTGCCCCACACTGTGAGCACAAGAGACCTGCGCTCGCTCTCTCGCAAGTCGTTTGGAGTCAGGGCATGGAAAAGGGCCATAGATTCCACACAGCAACGACAGGAAGATCCTCTAAGAACTGAAAGCCCCAACTTTGGCAGGCCAGATTCCAAGAACAAGTCTTTACCTTCCCTGGGGCACCTTCTGAATAGCTGTGTCGAAAACGCTACAAGAACGCCCACCCTCGAGGCTAAAGTGCGGCTAAAGCGGAGTCATGATCTGAGACACCTACCCTTCACTTACAAACTTCAAGTCACCTACTTCAACCGGACGGGCCGTCATATGAGCCACCCAAATCATCAAACCAACTGCTCAGTGAACTAACTGCTCCGAAAACCACCTTTCCCCCGGGCCGTTGGCGCACCACATCCATACCCGACTGCCGCCCAGTCACCTTTCCGAAGGCCGATCCACAGTTGGTGACGTTGGTCAGGTCCGCCACCATCGACTGGACCACTGGCACCTCATCAATGGCCCGAAACGAAGACAAGAACCAGCCAGGGCTGGTCCTACACACCTTGTGATGTCCATAATTGTGTCCTACACGTGGACATGATAGATATAACATGATATAACTATATATATATCACTGTATCACTCTGTATCACTGGTACGCAATCTCTCACCACACAGAAAGAACCCTTGGGGCGCCACGATCATTGCCAAGGCAGCTCCATTCAAGACCTGATTTCGGGTGCAGAAACTGCATGTGTCAAGCGAAGATGTTCCTTCTTGAGCACGCACTGCACAGCTCTATGCTTCAAAGGAACTTCAGATGGCTTGCTTTCACAATTGGCATTTTTGGAAGCTCCAAAGCGAATAGTTACTTACGTGGCTTCCAGGCTCATGGTAAACTGGGCTTCGAGCTCTCAAAGCGATGATGGTGGTGAAGCTGGAAGTGAGCGCGAGCTGAAAAGTGCAAATGCCCCACAGGCCAGCACCAACCTGGCAGGTTGAGCGGTTGAGGCGTTTGCATCCAAGCATTGTCGTATTTGATGGCAAAGTGGTGGACTACCGACATCTATATATCTGTGATGACAAGGCACCTTTCCGTTGGGCCCCCAGACACTTCGACTTAGGGAAGATGAGTTGATCAATGCTGTGATCCACTTTCTCACTGGGGTGGCGCTTGCAATTTGCGTGCAATTTGCCCAGTAAACAACAGCAGGTGTTTGCATGCTGGACCGCTGGACCCCTGGTCCTCACAAACAAACCCCATAGGCGGAAAACCCGGCTCCTGCAGCAGAAACTTCCTCGAAGCACCACTGTCCACGAGGTTGCCCCAGACCGGCCCAGTCACTGCGCACGCCACACCTATCCGGCCGGATCAACTAAGATGATCAATCCCTCCATTCAAGCTATGAACAATTATACATACAGTATATATATATATAGATTATGTAAGTACTGTAACTGCAACCTAGGTGCAAATGAAATATGCAAATATGCCTGCTGCAAACGGGTTGCATTCTGTGGGTTTGGTATCCTGTACCACTTGTCTCCTACGAGACTGAAGCAAGCTTTGGCTTTGAATTCTCTGACACACCCTTGTGAACTAGCACTCGTCCCTTGAAACAAACGAGTGACCTGACAGAAAAAGCACGAGAGCAAGCTAGACGAAGAACCTAGAAACACGGCTGTCTATATATATATATATAACTAAATGCATATATATAATATACACATGCATAGAGAGAGAGAGAGAGATGTATATATATATATATACAGTATACATATGTATACATCTTTTTGTACAAAGGAAGGTATTTGTTTGTCCACTGACGACCCTTCAGATCTGTCACCGGAGGGATATGCGAATGACATGATACCTCCAGCTCCTGACAGGCCTTGGCAAAGGGCAATCATGGCTAGCCTCGAGTCGGGGCTCCACAGCGACAACGATATACATATCCGCCGACCCCGCCGGTTGAAGGGGGCGCGCGCCAGAGAAGGCAACCGAGGGCATGCTGGAAGCGTTGCGGAAGGTCTGACAGCTTGAAGCGTTGCTGAAGGTCCGACAGCGGAAGACAGGGCGTGCGCGACGCTGCTTCACAGACTTGCTTTACGGGGTCCGAAAGCGACGTTAGAGATTCTGGGGGCGTACCGGGAAGCGCACCTTCGGGCGATTTTTGGTCTCGAATTCGATTGTGGAAAGCTGTGGCGGAGGAAATCACTCGGAACAGGTGTCTACCAGCCAGAGGACCCGTGGGA